TTTTCTTGGCCAATGTCTTCAGCTGGAATAAATTTTGCTATTTGGATTGTTAGATAATGTGTTTCAGTGGGGCCATTTGCTTCTCTCATAACCAGCAATGAAAGCCTCTTTTGTTGTTCGAGATTATTTTCATCACCGTACAATGCAATGAGTACAACTCAAACGTGATCAGATCAGACTGATGAAAAGTAGCTTGTATTCATAAAGTTGAAGAAAAATTACCCAACATTATCAAACTTGCATATACCGTATTTTACGGAGTATAAGTCGCATTTTTGAGGGAAATTTATTTGATAAAATCCAACACCAAGAACAGACATGTCATCTTAAAAGGCAATAAAAATAGAATAGAGGCAACAACAGGCTGAATAATTGTACGGTATGCTAACGTTACATGACACATGACCAGCGAACTGAGAACATGCCTGGTATGTAACATAACATATTAAGAGTTATTCAGATACCTGTAGCATAAATAACATGCTAACAAGTTTACCAAACCTTCCGTGTCTCTTCAAATCACTAAACGCAATGAAATCTTCGTCCTCGATGTCGCTTGTAAACAACTCTGCTAACTCCAAAGGGAGAATAACACAGGCCTAGAGCGCCCTCTTGCGGTTTAGTGTGAAAATAACATGTGATATGATATAATGTGTTAATTTCCAAACATAAATCGCCCAGTAGTATAAGTCACACCAAACTATGAAAAAAACTGCGACTTTTAGTCAAGAAAAAACAGTAATCTGAAAAGTGTGTTAGTTGCATGTAGTTTCATTAAGCCCCTGTAAGTTAATAGTGTACATTTAGCTTAATACATCAAAATACTTTTGTCAGTTCTTGTTGTCTGTTTTGTGCTCGCTTTGGACATCCAGGTGGAGAGCAAAAGTGAAGTGCAAAAAAGTCTTTCAGCAGATGAAGGTGCAGACTTCGACTGAACAAATCTAACAGCCAGAGCTGGTTTCACAGCTAATGTCATTCTTCTGGGAAAGAAACTTTTGCTCCAGGCACAAGACTTCAATTTCAGGGTATTCTTTTTCAAGGATTTACCCAGCAGCTCCATCCAACTTCATATCAACTCTGATCAGCTGTCTTGTCCTTGTGTCCTGTCCATATAGCACAAAGATTTTCCTATCAAATTGTCATACTGTTTTAGATTTGTTTTCCGAAGCAAGATCTGAAATGCCCTCCATGCTTTGATTTCCACTTCACTGCTATGCACTGCCTGTAACATAATGTATAAATAAAACACAGGGCATTTTGAATTTATAATAAATCTGAATGAACCATCAAGGTGCAATGTTTCTCTGCTGGTTCTAAAAATGTTAATAATTAAGATTTGGATAAAGCCCTGATTGTTTCTTATCTGTGCTATATTTACTGAGAAAAGCTAAGTACAGTACCTATTTTGGAATCTTTTTCAAAGGGTTTCTGGTCCTCTACGAAAGTCTCTTGCTTCTGACTGCTGAACCGACAACTGGAAGAAGTTTAAAATACTTAATCTTCAAAGTAAAAAAGAAAATTAATTTGATTTATTAAATATTTCAGAAAGCAAGAAGGCCTTCAAATGATCAATTTCTTACAAATAACTCTCCAAAGACAACAAAACAAAATAAAAGTAATTATGTTTATATAAATTTTATTATAAAAGTGTTTATTGTCAGGTTGATGTTGCAGATATGAAACTCAAGAAATTCTGACTGTTCTGAATGGTTCAATTTTATTTATTTTTTGTCCTTTTTTTGTCTTTTGGGCTCTGAGTGAGTTATAACCAACATTCAAATAATTTTCTGCCTGCTTTACACAGCCCGTATTTAATACTGAATCATTCCCAATCATATTTTGCTAAACTGATGAAACAGATATATCACCTTAATTCCAATGTACAAATTCAAGAAACTGGCAAATTCTGAATTAATTTTCTCATTTTCTATATTCTGAGACTTCAAATATTCCAATCCTGTAGGAATTACAAATAAAATTTGGCACAAACTGTTGCATACAAATCCCTTGCTTGTATGTCAAGATGGATGTGAGGACTTTTAATTTTGACTACAGAGTTAAAGGGATCCACGATTAGTTGCAACAAAAGACTTTATTTGAGAAATATTTATTTTAGATGTAAAGACAGTAATAACTCTTTACTGTTTAGCTTTAATAAAGATTTGGCGCCTGCACTGCATTCTGGGTAAATGACATATACTACCTTTATTATTGATTGACTTATTTTTTGTCGTATCGTGTCGGCATGCTGAACTCGAAGAGGGCCTCTTAAAGCGCATGCGCAGGGATGTGTGCTCGCTGCGCATGTGCGACTCTGATAGCGTTTGCTGCACAGACCCGCGTGTGGACAGAAACTGTCGGCATAGCATTTGGGTTTGAAGGTAACGACCACCTGTTTGAGTCATATGTGTATGAGAAAAACTGATGAACGTTTTCTGGATGATGTGTTGAGGGCAGGAGTTGTGTTTGGCTCTATCACGATGCATTTTTTTTATGTAGGAAATGTTTCAGACTCGCCGCACAATTTCTTCTTTAATTACAGCTAACAGCGACACAGTGTGACATTGTCTAAATTTATATTAGTCAAATGCAACACGATAAACAACAACCCGGGTAAAGTTAGCCAGTTCGGAACGTACGCGACATTTATCAACCCAGCATGCATTGCGCATGTGCAAAATGGCGACCTCCACAAGTGAAAATTACACCATTTAAGTAATTGAGTTTTTCGTATCACAAACAGTATTTTTTATTTATTTTTATTTTATTTATTTTTTAGCTAACAGGAACACTACAACATCTGTAGGCCAAATTGTTGACATAACTGTGGATCCCTGTTTTCAGGAGCTTCTAAATCCTAAAAAAATGGAAAATATTGTAAGAAATAAGATTATTAACAGAACACGAGAACTCTCTCATTTCAGACAACATTTTAAGAAAGTCCATTATTCAGCAAACAAATTCTGATGAAAATGCTTAATTCTTCTGTAGGTTAAATGTTGCTGTCTCTTGTGTGTGCACTTTATGGTTATGCACTCCCACATGGAGGATTCTTGCTGTCTTTGTGGTGACCCATTACTGTTTAAATGCATCTCTCCTTTAAGACATAGCTATAAAAAAAAAATCAAAAGGTTCGGGTTACGATAACCTTTTGCTGGGTTGCTCATTGACAGCCAGTTTTGCATGCAGTGCTGCATCCCATGAGAGATTCATTTGTGTGTCTGCTCTATTACCAAGAAGGCGTCATAGAACAGAGGAAAAGAACAGCTTGAGGTAAAAATTAGCAGCATTATGTCATTTCAATGTTTACTTCACTACCATCAAATATTTGTCAGGCTCTTATGTTTTGTTTTTTTCTTTTTCTGATTTCTGTGTTTTCCTTCGTTATTCTTATTTTGATATGATCAGCCATGTTTTTTTTTTTTTTTTACTAAGTTCAGTCTGCGTTTAGTTAGATTGCATTTATTATTTAATCCTTGTATTTAGTTATTCTTTGTTACAGTTACTTTCATTTTCCTGTTTGTTCAAGTATAAAAACCACAACGATGGAAGCAGTCGTTTCTTTATGAACAAGGAATAAAGTTTGCTGAGATGTATTTGTGAACAAACCAAACACAAACATTTAACTCATAGCATCAGATTGCATATATGGTAACACAACATTCAAACCTTGAAGAGTATTGTTTTTTGCATTTTTACAAAGTAAACTTGCCAATTTTCCTAAATCCTAAATTGAGATGTTCAATTTAAGATAATTTCTGATTAAATTATTAAATCATCTAATGGCAGCATCCTTCTCAGTAAACAAATGAATGTTAGAATTATAGATCTATGGTCTGTTTTTTAGAAGAGAATTGCATAATAAGCTCTCAGAAGTAGTCAAACATTTTAATAAATATCTGGTGGCCTCTGCCAGAAAACTGAAAATGAAAAAAAAACTAACTAATTTTAGCAAGATAAAGATCTAAAACACGCAACCACAGCAATGTTGAAATGGTTTACTTAACATAAAATGAACCTGCTCCCATGACCAAAAAAATCTGTAGCTTCTGCTGAAGAGAAGAAAACATTGGAATGGATGGTGAGGTTCTGGTCAATCTGATGAAATGGTGCAAATAGGAATAGTCAGGCTTTCCGTAATCTTCAATCTTTTAAAATGTTATAGATGATTTGCATTTTGTTCTTAACACCTCAGAGGTGCCCACAATTGTCTAAGAATTGATCTTGTGAAAAACTTATTTCTGAACACCGGGTGTTTTCCCATGAGGAAACGAAACAAACAAAAAAACCCTGAACTCATTTGAATGAAGGAGTATATTTTTACCCTGGTCAAAAAAAGATGGAATTTTAATTTAAAATGAACCATAATGTTAACCTCAAGGTTTTGCTTCTTTGTTGTCATTGCAGATGCCACTGCGTCTTATACATAGTTACCCAGAAGCCTGAATCCTTGGGCGGACTCCACTGCATCGGCTTCCAGCCACAGTTAATGCCTGCTGCCATTCAGCCAACCCACACATCATCTTTGGCAGATCCATGTTGACTCTATCTGTTCAAAGACTCAATAGTCTCAAGCTGCTTCTTTGAGGACATCAGAAAGAGAAGGGAAAAGTGGAAAAAAAAGAAGATTGCTGGGGTTTGAAAATCTTACTCCTCTATGAATTCCCTTTTTTTTTTTTCCGGATTCTGATTTCGTGAAGTGGAAAAAACCTGAACTGACACCAACCCTAAGCCTTGACATAGTGGGTGAAATGTAATTGAAAAAAAAACAAAAATATTGGACACTTTTTCCAACGAGCCTCCCCGCGGTGCTGAGTCACAGAAGGTGACATGCTTTTCATCCTATCATGTAGTCACAACAACTTGAGGAAACCTCCCAGAAACTTTTCTTCCAAACACTCAGCTATTTTTAACAAGCTGATGCACAACACTGAGTCAATCAGCTGAGAAGAGTGCCACTGGTTATTATCAGCCTGTGCACTTCCTATTTACATCTTTAATCTTTGTTTTCTGAGTAATTATCTTTTTAATTAATGGCGACAGAGGCGTGAATTCCTCCCTGCCACCTTCTTCAGCTCTTTCCCTTTTCACCGCTGCTAGAGACACCTGAAACCAATTAATTACAACTGATCTAGTTGTGCATTAGACACAAAAAGAGCTGAAGTGATTAGATGTAAATACAAAGAGAGTAAAAGGCGACCAAGAGAACGGAGAGGGTGAAAGAGATCCCGCTGGTCAACCTATTTGATAAAAGGGAGGATCAGAGGGCAGTGGAGGATATGGCCAGATTAAGGTGCCAACACGCTAAGATAATAACTAGTTGTGAGTCAGTGGGAAAGATTGACTGCAGGAGCCCAGAGTCTTGACTGACAGGCAAAGGACTCATTGCCATTCTTTGTGCTGTGTCAAGCATAGCACCACAGAGAGAGAGGAGAAACTCCTGGCTGGCTGCCACAATCAGGGCCAATTAGGAGAATTTGATTATATGCCTTAATCTTGGCAGTCAGGTGGAAAAGCAGTCAGACAGAGAAAGAGGAGGCTGAGCAGGTGCCACCGATACACACCATTATCTCCGTCCATCTCTAATTGAGTTTGTTTCTGCCCCTGTGAGTGTCTCATCTCCAAACAAGAGTTTTAAGTGGTGGAGGTTCTTCAAGAGAAAACAGGAAAAGAGGGAGAAAAAACACTTTGTGTTTTCCTTCGGAGACATACAATGACTGTATTCTATCTCCTTTATCTCTTTAAACCTATTTTCCATCCCTCCCTCAAGATTTATCATCCCAGCTTGGACTTGTCCTTTCTGGAAGTTTCCCTGCAGCTTCCTCTATCTCCATATTGAGCTTGAGATAAAAGCAAGAGAGGAACTGATAGGCATAGAAGGGAAAAGAAGCAGCAAGGTACTGAATCCGTGGAGGACAGAGCAGACTTTATTTCCTTCCTCAATCTCAGACACCCCGAGGCTCCTGCCCAGTGTCCCCAAAACTGCACTTCCTCTTTTTTAAATTTCCTTGTCTCCTTTGGAGCCCGTTTCCCTGCTCCCCTCCTGGATCATACGCTCCATCCTGGACCTCACCAAGATTAAAGTGGCCCCAGTTATCCGAGGGAATCCTTTGATATCGGCTCCCAGTGTTGTCATCATAATTCTGTGAGTACTAAAGACGGTCATTCTATTATTTTAATCCTGCTTCATTCAATGACTTCTTCTTCTTCACCATAACTGTCTACCATTGGTTGTCTTAATTTTTTAATTTTTAGTGCTGTTTGCTTACTGAGTCTTAATGTTGTTTGATACTGCAGATACTGTTCATCTGTGATTTAAATTTTTCCTTTTAATCATTTTTCTAATGTTGCTGTTTTTGACCTGTCTATCTCAAACTACATACCAAATTGAATTTCCCTTCATATAAAAACCTCTCAGTCCAGAAACTGTAGACAACGTGATTGTACATTTTCAACAGAAGGACAAACAGTTAGCCTTGGTAAATGACCAGTGAGACAAATGCAGAGCTATAGACAGCTTGTTTAGCATCATCCATAAAAACAAATAAGGTCACAAAAATGTTGTGTTTGGAAGTCTGCATATATAAATTTGACCACTTGGAAATCCTACAAACACACAAGCAATGTAGACTGCTTAGTTTTACAATGTTGGGAGAAAAAAGCAAGCAGATTGAGAGTTTATTAGTTTCAGTATGAATAGACATTGGAAAGGCAGTTGTAATCAAACAGGACATAAATACTCTGTTTTTTTTAGTTTGTTGCTATGCTTGTTTTTTCTTGTAATTTTTTTTTTCTTGTCTATTTTTGCCTTAGCTCCATAGTGAGAGCTTACCTAACACAATAGGGGCTTTTTCATCAAACCAACTCCAGTGCTAAACTGGTTCTTGTTTAGCAGCAGTTTTTTTGTGTCTTCACCACCACAAGCTCCAGTTTGGGTACAGATCAACTGGTTCTTCCCAAGCAACGTTTCTTACCTGGCCTAATGGAAGAATGTCTTTTGTCAGGATCTGGGGACAGGCTCATGACCAACAACCAGTCAATCAAAATGTTATTATTGGAATGTCTAAAACTCTTTATTTTATTTTTATTTTTTTTACTTTTTTTTAATCAAAAGTTGATCTTTCCTTTTATTCACAATGTATTTCTAAGAAGAACCAAAATAATAAAGATCCAACAACCAAAAAATACTTTCTGTAAACACTACAAACACCTCATGATATACCATTGTATCATATGTTAATTAAGATTACAATATAAAAGACAAATAAAAGCTAAAATGAACATGATGTACTATGAATATGCCTACCATCAGTATAAAAGACAGCACAGCCTTCTAGGTCTTCTATGCGCTGCAGAGCAGCAGCCAGTTGTTCTTTGCAAATCTCCAATTCCTTTTGAAGATCATTTTGCTTCATTTTTTCATCCTCCAGTTGCTTTTGGATATATTTTAACTTCTGTTCGGCTGCCCTGAGCTGTCTTCCTCGTTTTTCAATTGTCTCCAGACTTCCCTGGAAGGCCTCATGTACACTGCGTTCCAGGGCTTCCCGAGATACAGATGTATCTCTGCAATGGTACTGTAAGAAAAAAAAAAGATTAATTATTAAAAATATTTTAAAATGAAAACTAATACTTAACTGAACAGCTCCAAATAATAAAACCTATTAAAAATCTAATATGAAAACTACTTAATCACTGTAAATGCTTAATGCCACACATGCTTAGTTTGTAAGCAAAAGTTTAAAACAAACAAAACATCTAAAGATAACTTAAAACTTGGGAAAGAAAAAAAAATAAACCCTTTAAGAAGATAGTAACATATTAAATATGTGAAAACTGACTGTCGCCGATATTGTCACATATTGTCGGTCACTCAACAAGAGACATAGAGGGAAAACAATTAAATAATAGGCCTGTCACGATAAATCAATTAATCCCACAATACATTAAAACTATCAACCTTATTTCAATTATCGGCTTTATTGTTTCTTCCTGCCTTTTTCTCTTACTGTTGATGACACTGAATGAAAAAAGGCTCAACTCCGGTGCTCTCCACTGACCCTCCCTTCCTTATTTCCTTAGTGTAATGCCCAACGCGCGCTGCACGATCTTATGTCGCGGATTGTGTCCCATTATCAAACCCGAGAGACACATTAGCCGACAGAAATCCTCAGTATAACGGTTCGATCGAAACCGTGTTGTGTCCTACAATGGACACAAAATAATAAGTCCAGTTCACTAGTTTTGAAACCAGGCATTAATCAATTCCTTACTACAATCTACCTGCAATGCATGTGGCTAGTGTCAGTCTTGACTGAATGAAAATCATTAGAAAGTATTTATGTCACGTTAACGAAGAACAGTTGAAAAGTTACCGGGTTTTCTGGTAGAAATTTCGCTCCAACTCTTCCCCTAGTTATTTATATTTTCTTTGCACGAAATGTTGAATAAACATTCATGTTTCCACATATCATCTCCGATGTCTGCTGGACTTCGGGTTGCACCGTGTCAGCTGTTCAGGATTCCCTCCTTGTTTCCTCTCAGAAAGCAGGAGGAGAATCCGCACTTTAAGATTGGCTACCAGTCATATTAAACAGGCTGCGTAAAGCTCCCAGTCTGGATAAATCCTTGATTTAGATCAGAGCAGCGACAACGATCTACCATAATACACAACACAAGTGAAAATCTCAGAATGAATGACGTTCTAAGATTGTCATTAGGGGTAAAAAATCCTGTAGTTTGAACTATTGCATCAGGCAGTCGGATTCTTCTCTATTTAAATCTAATGATTACTGAAGGGCAATATACTATACAGAATTCATAATCTGCTCTCTTTTGGTTGAATGCAGTATTTATTTCCACTTTGGCCTTATGATGTTTAGGTTTTATTCAAGTAGATTTATTGTTAATGGAGACTGAGAATCTATTTTATTTTTGGTTTTGGTTGTTTTATTTATTTTGTGTATCAGTCCCAGTGTTAAGTGTTCTTTTGAAAGTAAAATGCATCTCTTTGGAAGGAAATCGCAGGTATTATTACGTAATTTCCATTAAATCAATGTAAAAAGGTCTTCAAACAATATTATCGTTTATCGCAATAATTTTTTTAGAGAATTAATCGCCCAGCAAAATCTGTTATCATGAGAGGCCTATTAAATAACAAAAGATAGTAACGCAAAGTGATTTTGAAAAGTAACTGTAATCTGATTACTGGATTTGAAATACCAATGCGTTACATTACTCGTTACTGAAAAATGTGGTTCCACGTTGGTAATGCGTTACTTTGTAATGCGTTATTGAGAACCCTGGCTGTCAAGCAACATTGTAGTCCATTTAAATCAAACAAGAACACAAAAACCATAATACCACGATGTGGTGAAAAATATGTATTCCATGAATAACACCAAGAAAGAAATGCATATTACATGAACAGCTACCCTCATTAAAATACACAATTAAAAATAGTATTTTCTATTTAATCACTAAAAACAATTCTATGAATAAGAAGTCTTCACCAAAACAAACTATACAACTTGAACATCTTGAACAAAATATTAATTAAATAAAATTATGAAAAAATAGAAAGTTAAATATTATTTATCACTCTACAACAATGTATTTTTAATATTGCTTTATCAATTGATAGGTCTTCTCTTTTTAATCACAATCTACCAAAACTTAAATAATTTATTAGATATCAATATTTATGTTCCCTTTATTGTTGAATGTTAGCAAAGCAGAAATTGTGCACTTTTGAATGTCTTAAACAAAATGTTGGAATTGTGTCTTTAATGAATATCACAAAGAATGCAACTGCTTCACTTCAAATGAAAACAGTCTTACATAAAACATTTAAAGCTGTGTTATATCAAACGCATGACGCCTGAAGTTCAAAAAGTAGCCTATGCACAGAACACGCCGATGTTGTCAGGTTTACATTAAAATATGTGGAGTGTCGGAGGCGCTCGAAGCATCGAACGCTATACAGTTCAAATCGTGTAACGCTAACGAAAACAAACGTCTCTGAAAATTAAAACGCAACATTTATAGTACCTACACAAATCCACTACACACTTAGGTTGTGTTTCTCCTCGCACTTAGCTTTCTGGATACCAGCATGATTTATAGCTTTCATGACCCCACCGCTTCGTTCCTGGTCTTACGCTCGCTCTCCCTGCCACATTGCGTACTTTCTTCATTCTGTACCATAATTTGAACTACTTAAAACTATGCAACCTCAGAGAGGAACTTCCAAGCAAAATACTTTTTAAAATTAGTTACCAACTAATATACTTACACAAGCAAGCTGGGCCGCCTTTTGCACGCCTTTGAGCTCAGGGTCGCTCAATTGAGGGAGCTTGTGAGGAGAATTTGCCATGTTCTAGAAAGCACAAAATATATAGTTAATAACAACTTTATAAAGAGAAAACACAATTAAAAACCTTAGCTTATCAATCAACAAATAGCATAAAAAATACCTACTTCTTTAACTCTGGTAGACAAAAACAAAATGTCCAAGAAGCAATTGAGTAGCTTAGTAAGAAAAAAGCTGAAATGGGCGGTACTAACAGAAATGCCCACCCTTCTTCACAAATTTAACTGGATAAATGTGGTGATGGACGACAGAAGTTCTTTTATTGATAACGCCCATTTAAGCTTTTACCCTTATGATTATAACCGTTATATTTTTACGCAACTATAAAACATATAAATTAAAAATTACTGACAAAAAAAAGAAACATTGATACTTTCTAATCAATAATTATATATGATTGGAAATCAAAAATTCTTACCTTTAAAAAGAAGTATTTTACCACTTTGGAGGTGACTCTTCATAATTCAGCAATTATATATATTCCAAAAGTACTACAATGTATATTACACACCACTTCTTATACATTGACCTGAAATAAAAGAAACAAAACAAAATACATCTGCAGATTTTGATTGCTTCACCTGGGAGTGCTCTTGAAAACACAATTAAGCTAATATCTGCATAAGTCACCAGATAAAGCATCACATACGTAACAAAGATGTATTTGCTTATTCTGTGTTATTTGCTTTTCTGTATTTGTTTTTTACTTTATGGGTAGTGTACATTTAAGATGAAAGTACGAGATTAATTTACGGCAACATTCCCGGGCATCTGAA